AAAATAGAAATACCTTTAAACATCTATATCTAGAGAACTAATTGATGGGTAATCACCAAACTTTGTCTCGGGCATTCTTGGGTAGTCTTTTATCAAATGTGCTCATATTAATTTGATTGGCCCCTTTTAGGGGTCTCTAGGGCTAAAAAAAGAAAAACCTTTAGATATCTATTACTGAACTAATGAATGGATGATTCCTTTAAGAGCAAATGGGAGCGGTTGTAAATAATACTTTTTATCATGTTAGATTCTCTATGAAATAGCTACAGTTTTACCAAAGGTTGGTTTTTGTTATACGGCCTTTATTTAAAAAGACACATATATTAAGTGTTATTATTAAATCTTATTAACAAACAGACGATTGGATATACATATTTATATGCAAAAAAATAACATTGTCTGATGAATTAAATCATAGTAATTAGTTGAAATACAACTCTTAAACATTTGGTCTAGAACCAGATACAAAAATATGTGAATATAGATTGCTGAGCATGTTGTCTCACTATAGACAACTAATTTGTAATTTACAGCTCCGAGAGATGATACAAGGCATATAAATAAGTCCTTTATGCTTCAAATATAATACACTGAAAGAAACTATTTACATAACACTTGATTTCAGCAGCAGTTTTCAGACGAAACTATCATTTCCATTTGGGGAATTACAGAAATCAGAATTGGAAAAAATATATAGCAAGATACAAATGTATAATCATTTTACTGGTGGGTTATTACTCATTTCCTTTAGCTAATATTAAAATAATTGTGGAAAGAGATTCTTGTAAAATAGTGTGTTACTAAAATACATGGAATATTATTTTCTAGACAAATTCATATCAATAAAATTACAAATGTATTTCTTGAAATCTATTAAAGGTTTAACCTTGTATTCTTTATTAACATAAAAAGCTTTACACGTTTTAATGTTTCCTTATGTACAAACTCAATCAAACCTAATATGCATTTTTATGTAATCTTGTTGATTTAATGCTTCGAAAAGATCACTTAACAGCCAAATAATAACATAACATTCTTCTAACGAACAAATATTTCTGTCTTTGATGATACTGAGGTAATGTTATTGATATGAATAGCTAGTTATTGAACTTGTTATTTGGGGTGACAGTTAAACTAGTATTAAGTTAAATCAGCCTCAAGTCAAAACGGCCCACAATCTGACAATTTGGTCTAAACAGTTGGCTTCTTAAATATGTTTCGTATTCATTATGGAACCAAACTGACAATCTTTACAACTATGGTTCAATCACCTTGTTGCAGATCACTCGGTCGATTAGATATATATGTCAAGCAGACACCGTAAATGATTGACACATTGAACATTTATTTTGTCAATCGAATGTCAAATAGACAGCGTACAAAACCGAAATGAAGATCTATAAATAATGTGTTGTTTTGTTGTTGTTGTTGTTGTTTTTTCTTCAAAATACTGACTACATTTCTTTAATTCAATGGTAAAGTTTTGTTGTAAAATAAATTAGCTTCAGCATCAAAAGTAATAAGGCCATCTGTCCTGTGAATTATCATATTGAAATGATATGTAGGCATCGGCGACGGTTAATAGCCAACAAGCAGCCGAGAGGTTATGGTTGTTGACTTCAAATCACTTCCGTAAACCGTGTTGATGCAACGTAAAAGCCAACCAAAATAAGATACTCATATAAAGATAATAAAGTATAAAGTCAATAAAACGGTCTATCTGTCTTTTATCTGTCATTTATTACTTGTTTTCATCCTATGTGTTAACTGTTTTTAAGATATTATTTCGTATACAGATATAACTTTTATTTTTGTTTTCTTGAGATAAAGCTGCGGTCTCACTTACTCCCGGCAGAGCCCAGGACGATCCCGGTAAGTTACCGGGACGATCCGGGACAATCCGGGGTGAAATTATTGTTTAGGTCACACTTATCCCGACAGCACTACGGTAGTTCCAAACTAACTACCCAAGATGCGCTCCGGATCATCCGGGCAGAGCCCAGGTGAAGCTACGGTTCATGCCGATGCTCCCCGTTGGATTGAAAACGCCCGAAAATGATAACATTGATACAATAATTTTTATTTGATATAATATCTATTGATCCAGAATAGTAATTCATGATGATTTTCTGAAAAATCCTTATGCCATACTGGATAGAAGGGAAATGGGAAGAGCTTTAATACAAACGAGTGCAACCATCGCAAATTGTCGTTATTCTTTTGAAATGATCCTGACTTTATCCTCCGGGGCTCTGCCTGTAGTTACCGGGGCTCTGCCGGCATATACCGGGGCTCTATCGTAACTCTACCGTAGCTCTACCGTCTATATCATACCCCGGATCATCCCCGGTTTGTGCCGACAGAGCTACGGTGCTTCCCCGGTATAACCCCGGTCGTTCCCGGCAGAGCTAAGGATGAAGCCGGCAAAGCTATACTTTCCCGGATCATCCCGGACCATCCCGGTGATATTAGATATTTTATTCCATCCGTGTTCGAATGCCGGATGTTCCCGGATCATCCCGGACGTTGCCGGCAGAGTTACGGATGTACTCCGGTTGTTCCCGGTCGTACCCCGGTCGTCTACCGGGACGCTGCCGGGATTTAAGTGATAGACTGTAGCTAAAGTTTGTACGAAAAACATTTATAATTAGATTGCTTTTTTCACTTCTTGCTATTTGCCAGAGATCTAGAATACAAACAGTCTTATCAAGACGTTTAACAAGCTTACATAACTTTCATTGTTGATCCAATATTTTACAAATAGCCCTTAATCTAAATAATTACCATAATTTCAGATAAATGTCTTGAAACACTCAACAGTATGTCACATTACAAGCGTGCATTATTAATCTCTTAAGATAAGACGTGCAAATAGATAAAATACCTTAAAGGCATATTAAGCCTAAAATAGTGTTATTCTTATTTCTCAAAAGCATTTAAACTGTGGTGTCCTCATATAGTTTCCAAAGGTTTACACTTTGGACATATATCTGAGCTATGCGTTTTAGCAACTGGTACAGTTAAAGTGATTTAGTATTTAGTTTTTTGTATTGAAGTCAAATATTTTGTTCTAGAACATTTAATTATCTGCTTTATAAATGTATGTAATATCGTATCGTTTATCTTGCACTTGCCAAAACATCTATGTGAAAATATTGAAAATTTCCCTTAAAGTAAAATATTGTGAACAAAGACATTATTTTAACTTGCAAAAGGCGTTTTTAATTAACGAACATTAGATATCAAAATATGCAAAAAAAGGCCTTACTGCGTAAGAAAAGCGATTAATACTGCAAAACCGGTCATTACTCGCACTACTTGTAAATTATTACTTGAATCTCTCTACTTTTCTTAACATGTTAGAACGGTTATCTTTTTTTTTCTTTTTTTGAAGTATTCAGCTAAAGTCAAGTGTTGCAATAATTCAGGTCATTTTTCACAATAAGCATAATTATTCTGGAAAAAAAACACTGAGCGAACGATCTAAAATTGTTCACACTGTTATTGGTCTAGACCTACATGTATATTAAATGGGACTTTAATCTTAAAAAATATTTCTATTCCCGTCATGTCAAAATTTCACTTTAAAGTGACAATAAACTTATTTATGATCGCATTTAAGTATATTTCTGCCTGAAGAAAATACCATTCCGTGTTAGCATAATTTACGATGTTCCGTTTAAAAGAAATGCTGAAAAAGAAATGTGTGTCAACGAAATTTAAGTGATAAATATGCCACATCAGTGTTTCTCGTTCACTTTGCTTATCACAGATGACTTATTTGTCTGACAAGTATGTAGAAATGGTATACTTCTTGTATCGTTAATAATTATGACAAATACCTAATAGAATATGTCTGGTATTCTTTTCCAGAATAAATACTGCATCCATCGAAAGAGACGTTTCTAGAAAGTATGTAAAACGTCTGAAATGACATTAACTGAATTTGATTCCTTTTTTTTTTCTTTTTTCCTTTGCTTAACCTGTGCTTAAATATTACTACAGTTAGGCTGCTATATTGTTCATTTCAAGCATATAAAGGTCCCTAGCACCGTTTCATTTCCAGCAATATAATTTGTTTGTTATAGTGTTATCATATTTCAAAAAGCAGAACAAAACTGTATCATATAACTTTATTCCAGAAATACCAAGTCGTAAATTTGTAAAAAAAATGTCTTCGGAAACATGCAACACAATACCTGTTTACTTTTAATATTGATACAATAAATCAATAGAGATACTCTTTATAATAAGTGTTTGAAATACATCAATGAAACGTGTAAATTATTACATGAATTGTGAATATTCTAATTTTCTTTTTTATTAAGTGTTTGAAATACATCACTAAAACGTGTAAATTATTACTTGAATTGTAAATATTCTAATCTACTTTTCTTTTTATTTACGTGCATTTTACTGAAAATTGATTTTCTTGCATATGTTTCGGCTCATTTGGAGGTGCATTTATGCAGCTTCGAAATTTCATATGGCCGTGTATTAAATAAATGATCCTTTTTTATATAAATGGAGGAGCGGATCATATTGTATTAGCTTAGTGACGTTGGAACTGGGCCATGTTACTTTTTCAAAACTCATTTTAACTAAAAACATATTAACTAAAATGATTATCATCTTATATTTTGACAAGTGATTTTAACATAGTTATTTGAAATTTTTACAAATAACGACCAACTATTATATATATTTTAGGAAAAGGTTAAGCTCTGAAAAGAACAGTAGAATCCTAAACAAACACATCACTTCGGAAATTGAAGGCTGAACAAACATTATATGATTTTATAAAAAGAAAATCGATTTAAATATTATGTGAGAAATTACTAAATAATAATTCAGATATTTCAACACACCTGAAACGATGTTGAAAGTCAATGTCCAGTAGAGGATCACAATGTTTTATTGGTTGTTTTCTGTTTCAAAAGTACTTTCATCAAAATATCTCTAAATTGTGACGTAAAATTAAGTTTCCTGTAGTAAGTGTTTTATTCTAACATTAGATTCTTCAACTTTAATTCTTTCCATACGCGTTCAACATTGTTGATAAGCACGTCTTCAAATTTGTCGAGTACTGTAGTATCTTTAACCCTTTGCTGTTTATCCTCGTAATTCTCCCAGTTTCTATAGTGGTGGAGCAAACCTATTTGTTGAGTAACCTTTACAACACGTGCATTGGGGATTTCGTGTATAAGAATATAATTGACACGTGATGGCCGAACAAAATACTTTGAACGGTCCATGTGGCGATATATCTTTGTCTCGTGATCAAAATGTTTCAAGGTTATTAACTTTAGTTGTTTGGCCTTTGTCTTTCCTTTAAATTCTACCTCATCATTTGTCCATTCTTTTCTGAAAAAGGTATTTTTGAAAATGAATCCATCCGCCGATTGGTCAAGATCTTTCAGCATTTGAGTCCAGTTGAAAGCATTCCCCGAATGAGGAACAATGTATTCATCCAAGTCGATATTCGACATAAATTCTGAGATTTGCTTAGTCCTGAAAAGACAGTCATTCAGTGCAACAGTTTGACCAAAGTTAATGAATGTGATGTTGAACCGGAAACGGAAGTCTCCATGGAATAAATTTCTGAGAAATTGCGTTCCGAATAGAATTTCAAAATATTTTTCACATCTTTCCGATATGGAATAATCATAAACGATAATTTTGTCGACACCAAGGATTCGATTGAGTTCTACCCCATTCGATGAATTCATGAACACTTCTGTAGCTGAATATTGGCGCCAAACAAAACCGTAAAGTGCCGTTGGTATGTGTCGACTTTTGAGGCATTGTTTATACTCAGGAGATTCAAAGCGTTGTTGACACGGATGTGTTGCCAGTGAAACAAATGATGGCGTAGCATTACCATTTAATTTACATTCAAACGTCACTGCATGTGTCATATATACCTGTAAGAGAAATATTAAATTATTGTATATTTATTTTATACAACGTGGTAACATCATGTGATATGAATTTGAAAAAAAAAAAACTTCCTAAAGACACAATATCAGATTAAACTAAAAAGTTACGAAATAAGTAAATGTAAAAATGATTAATCAAATTTAAGAAAAACCCAAGGAGAACGTTAACTTAATGCGATTCCATTTTGGAATAGGCCACTAAACGGGGGAATTATTATTTTTGTCGCGTCTTCATCGCTTGATGTCATTCTTATTTTACAATTGTTAGTAAAACAATTATAATGAATATATCAATGGTCAATAATTTGCAAACCTTTTATACGTAAAAGCACGTTATGCGTCAGAAACGAATATATCATTCCCTACTAAGAAAAGGTCGAACATGATTAAAATAACCTTTAAATAACGGTTTTACTTGGATAATAATCATGTAAGATATCAAAGTATCGCATTACCTGAATGTGAATTGAAATATATTTTCATAGGAAAATAAAATATAAGTCATGTTAAGGTGGAGGTCTCTTCAACTTACCAACAGAAATTCTAGCATTAAAACAAGCAACGAAATCTTATTACACAAACTAGCAACTCATAATATCATGAGTTTATCTATATTCGTAACAGCGGATGTAGTCGAGTATACTGGTTACTTACCATTGCGAATATGAGATTACGGTTGAGAGTTACTTTACAACGGGACACTTAAAATAGAAGCTTGTGTGAGACAAGTAAGATAAAAGGTATTCATTGGGCGAGTAAATTGTGGGCCGCCTTTTTAAAGAGATGTTCATAAGGTGAATATCGATGTTAAGATAATTGGTATATCATATGGAGTTATTGTTTAGTGCATGTTGTGAGGATGTTTCACTAATTACAATAAAGGCTAACAGTTATAAATGTTACATTAATTTCTTCCATATATTGTTAGAAAAGAAGTTCACTCTTTACTAGATGATTCACAAACTTAATTGTCGAAACCGAAACGTTCGGCAGTCTAAAAGACAATTAATATTTTTCGTAGTGTTGCAGTTGCCTAAAACACTTGAGTGTGTGTTTTTAGTTAAATTATGCTCGCCACCGGTTGTCCATATGGGCGAGTCCTCAAGATGAGTATAGGTCATTTTAGACTTTGGAGGATAGTGCAAGATACATATACAGAGAGAAGGCCCAATTCAATAAGCTTCTCCTGGTTCAGTAAGCCGTGTCCCAGTGTTTAAGCACTCAAATACGGGACCTCAATTTAAAGTCTCATCAAAAAATACTGATTAGTAATTTCAGTTCGCCTGTCCGGGAATTGAACTCACAACGCCGAGATTTACAAGTCTATGCATGCGTCTTCATGTATAATATACTAGAATTCAGGTGCCGTTTTATCAACGGTCGTACGCCCGGTCGTAGCTTAGATTTGGTCGTACGACCGATCTTTACGTCTACGTCGCGTTTTTATCACACATGGTCGTAGCTAAGGACGTTGTAGATTTACGTCGTAACTTTAATGGCTGCTTCAGACCAGTCGTAAGTAGGTTTAAAATCTTAAAAAATGGCGGCGCCATTTTTTGCATAATTGCCGATAGGAACACTTTCAAACACAAATATTTGAACAAATGAAGTTTTCAACTAACGATAGGTTTTCCGCGTACATGTTTATGTACAGTGCTGATTCTATTTAACATCCCAGGGACGCAACTATCACTTCCAGATTAATCTCCGGATAATTTCCACGAAGAAGCCATGGTTAGTTATATTACTATAATTTAAGTACAACCGACGTATATATGTGTTTAATATAACTCCTGTCACATCTGTAGCTAGATTAGCAAATGATTCTTACAATTTTCTATACCGTTTCCTACTTTTCTTTTCGAAATATTTTAGTACAGAAATTTCGGACAGTGCAGATTTCGGACAGAATATAGATCTAACAATTGTCAATAACAATTGTGTTAATTGTCAAGCTATTAAACCAATTGGATTGTTATAATTAGTTAAGTATGTTCTTTTGTAGACCTTTCAATGAAGTTGCTACAGTATCTATGTGAAAGACAAGTGTTAATAATGTGAAATTAACATGGCAACATTATGTTAACCTACAGTACAGTGCTGTAATGGGAATGCAAATGAAAACTGCAGCACTGTTGTTTTGGTAAAGCATGTATATGTTTGCGAAAATGAGCATCTTTAGATCCAATTTGTTCGTGTATCACATGAAAAAGAGGATTGTAAACAAAGGACAAGTAACTTGTGCAGACAGGTGAGTTTGAAATATTTGACAGTTTTAGAGTTCACTTCACCCAGTTTTAGAGTTCACTTCACCCCTCTTTAGAACTATGAAATCTGATTAAAGCACTACACCTCCCTTTTTGTTTATGTGTTGTTATGTGCTTTACACAAATTAAGGTGGAACATGTGAAATGCAATCAATTATGGTGATTAGAATATTCATTGTTTGAACACATTCTTGTTATATAATAACTTATATATAAGTATGGACCAAATCAAAATAGAGATATTACTTTTCCCCTAATATACTTACATGTGTATGATATTAATGATAATCAATTGAGTACATTATATTTTTTTCTAAAATATAATTATCACATTAAAACTTCAAAATAAGTTTGACTATTTAAAATAACTTATTTTGTATTAGTCATTTAAAGTAGGTGACCTACTATCTTAGATATGAGATATCTCTTTCACCCCTCATTTGTTCTAACTAACATTGATACTGGGAAACATTTAAACAAATACTATTGTATTATATATTGTAGTAATGTTAGATTTGTGGAAATCATTATAAAATTTACTCATAGGTTGTTAAAGTATATGTAGATATTATCCTAGTAGGCTTCTTTTCAGGTATTACTTGATTTTTGTTTATACATGTACATTGTACATGATATATAGAGTCTATAAAATTGTAGCTGAAATTTTATCTGATTTTCCTTACAGATATAAGGCAGCATGAATAGTTAGTACTTGGTGCATCTGCTGATCAATGTGTTTGTCAAAAGAGGACAGTAACAATGATGAGGCTGTATATCACCAGGGTCAGTAGTGACAAACTTATTTTAGAAACAGTAATATAAAAGTACAATGACCTTACACTGTCAGGGAATTGACAGTTATAGAGGAATATAAAAAAATTCAACAGTGAGAACTTCTTTAAAAGCTCAATGACTGTGACTGACAAATTCACATATTACAAAGACATTCATAGCAATTGAATAAACATTTAGTTTATAAGGATTTCATTTGAATTATACATTTTCATATTTATCTGTTCATGACATTTCATATGAGATAGTTTGTAAAAAAATATTGTATCAAATTACAATGTTAATTATTTGATTTTAAGTCAGAATATTCTCTGTAATGTTTCAGATAACTGCTGAATGATGGAAGGTTAACAGCTAAACAATCTTATGATTGGAATCAATATCCAGGGACAGCTCTCCCTTACAGGGTCCAAGTGTTGTGACCTTGTTATATGGCCAACAAAGGGCATATAAGTCCTAAAGATAGTTAAGAATAAAGTTATAATTATAGACTATCAAACATTTCATCAATTTACCAATATCTGTAAGATAAGGTACATTATGTATAATTTAATACATTCCATAATAACATGCACATGAATAAAAATAACACTTAAGTATGGTCACAAAGGGACAGTCAGTGATCTACAATTATTACCCTGAATGCATGTAAGAAGCTTTATGTGAATGGTTTTAATGATAAATGAAAACATATACATAGGTCATGTAGGTTAAGGTCTTTAAGTTGTTTTTGAATATATACTTTGGATGGTACATGTATGTACTGACTGTATGTTCACTTGTCTTAAGTGTCAAAACTATATATAACTATTCATGTATGACAAAATAAAATATGTATATTTCTTGAGGTGATAACTTTACTGAATCATTCTCTTGAATAACATTATGAAATTCAAAACTTGAAAGGAATACACAGCAAAATGATGTTCTTCTCTGTATTCAATTCGATTAAAGTGACTTTGAAAAAAAGATTTATGTGTTACAATTCATAACATGAGATAAATCAATGTTACAGTAACATATGTGTTTATATTGATATTTATTGATTTATTGTTACTTGAATGCATTAAAAATTGTTGGGATGAATATTAAAAACACAAAGAAAATAACACAAAAGGGACACTAATTGAAATAAACAATTGTAATACAGAATTTCCTGGAAGTGACATTTTATCTTTAATGTGCTAAGGTTATAATCATCTTGTTGTCTTAACTGCTCTTGTCTGAATAGTACCTTGTGTCTGTTAAAACATATTATTTTTATATTGTTATCTACTTTCAAGATTGTTTTCTAGTAGATATGTAAATAAATTCTCAACAGGTAACATAAAAAATTAATATGAATTAGAAAAAGTTGTAACATGTCATTTCAATGTCATAATTTACTGTCCTATATTTATTTATTGTCATACTGGAATAATAATAAATGACTTTGTAACATTCAACCACTTTCTGTTCTGTAGATACCATCACAAATCAGCCAGCCATACTAGGATCCTGCCTATTACAGGACAAAATATGTTTTTTCGCCGTATTTTTCTTTTAAATAAAAAAAAAAAAGAATGGAATTTTACCCAAATAATTTTGGGTTTTTATAACACGTAAACATTACTTAATCGGACATAAAATAAAAAAATTGACCGTAGAAATGTGTCTATAAAGTAGGGCATTATAAGACAAAAAATCGTGTAGACAGCTCAATTTACCGCGGACATTGTGTTTCAAAATCTTTTGAAGTCGTGAATTTAAATTTGTCTGTAAATAATCAGCGTGGAAACTACGACAAGGTTAAGATATTTGAAGAATCCAGGCAGCCATGTTTGTTACGAAGAGGTCAATGTTTGGGGTGTAATTGAAATTAACACTATTAACTCAATTAACGTATTGAGTCTTCATGATCCTTAAATGTATGAAACACTT